ATTTTGAGTTTTGTTCTACATTGTTCTGTCATTCTATCCAGGATCTCTTGTATAGACTCCCTCTGAGTGGTTAACGGTGGTAGCTGGGCACCATCTAGTTCTTCTGGTCTCATAGTCATATAGGCTGAGGATCGCATGCTGTACCAGTCACTTGGACTAATTGCTTCCATGAATCTTTGGTTTTCTTCATTCTTCTTTGCTCTGGATGAGGAGAGACCCATTGTTGCACCAAGATGGCTGCTTGTAAGCTTTTAAGATTCCAGTCACTACTCACCAAAGTAGAATGTGAAACAATGTTTTGTGTAGTATGTTATGCGAATTGAGCTTGAGGTTCCCTGCAACTATGGTCCTGAGCTCACAGGTCCAACTTCTCACTTCCTGTGGGTAGCTGGCTATGACCAAGAAGTGACTACAACCTTGTCCCTTGTCAGCTCTATTATATACCTGGGAATTCTTACAGAACATACCAATACACTTGTAGAAACATTGTCTGCCAACCCTAAACATAGTCTTGGGCACAATCCCCCTGCATAGACATACCTAATACTTCAGCCTGTCCACTCATCTTGTCACCCATTTAGCCATGTTTGCCTTCACTGACACCACAGTACTGTGTGTGCAAAAGGGTTCATCTTTGTTGTCTGTACCTCCCACGTACCTCTCTATGTCTTTTTCTTCCTCAGTGCCACCATGTTGATCACTCACATTTGGTACTTTGTCCTTCTCTTCACCCAAATCAATACTTATCTCTATCTATCTAATAGTGTTCCCTTCCCACCCCTCCCACCCCTGGTAACCAACAAAGAAAATTTTCTTCCATGTATAAACCTTTTCTTGAATGTTTACAATAATGGGCTAATACAATATTTGTTGTTCTGTGATTGACTTATTACACTCAGCTGAGTATCCTCCAAGTTCATTCACATTATTATTGTTATTTTTCTTCTTTTTTTTTTGTCCTTTTTATTATTATTCTTTCTTCTTCCCTTCTCAGGTTCTAGTTTTCAGCTTTTTCTCTCTTCCCTGTTCCTGGTTCCCATTTTTTTTCTTTTTTTTTGGCTCACCCAATTCCTTTTTTTTTTTT